GCTGTATGCCATAATCATCAGTATTAAAACAATTAAAGACCTGAAATATTTCAGTTGGTGTGCAATGAATCTGAAATATATGAAAGTTTCATTTTTATCATTACATTATGGAAAATAATGACCTTTATCACAATATGCAAATTTTTTGAGAAGGACCTGTACAGCCATTAATGTCTAAACCACCAGCAACAAAAGTGAGTACACCCCTTAGTGAAAGTTCCTTTAGTGTCAATATTTTGTGTGGCCACCATAATTTACCAGAACTGCCTGACCTCTCCTGGGCATGGAGTTTACCAGAGCTTCACTGGTTGCCACTGGAATGCTTTCCCACTCCTCCATGACGACATCACGGAGCTGGTGGATATTCAAGACTTTGCACTCCTCCACCTTCTGCTGGAGGATGCCCCAAACATGTTCTCTTGGGTTTAGGTCTGGAGACATGCTTGTCCAGTCCATCACCTTTACCCTCAACCTCTTCAGTAAAGCAGAGGTCGTCTTCGAGGTGTGTTGGGGTCATTATCATGCTGGAACACCACCCTGCCACCCATTTTCTGGAGGGAGGGGATCATGCTCTAATTCAGTATTTCACAGTACATATTGGAGTTCATGTGTCCCTCAATGAAATGTAACTCCCCAACACCTGCTGTACTCATGCAGCCCCAGACCATGGCATTCCCACCACCATGCTTGACTGTAGGTATCAGGGCCGGAGTGGGACTCTTCATCCCTGGAGTTTCAGCCTCAGAGCGGCCCACTTTAGATCACGACCTATTATTATTAAAATCATGTAATTATTATTAAAATCATGCAAATATTATTAAAATCATGTAAATATTATTAAAATTATGCAATTATTATTAAAATCACGTAAATATGATTAAAATCATGCAATTATTATTAAAATCATGTAATTATAAGCTTACATCAGGGGCGATTCGAGAATCTGCCCTTTAGGGGCGCTTTAGCCCCCAGTACTGCCAACGGCTCTTGGCTTGAACAATGTGGTGACCATAGGTGTCAGAAGCATTTCTTATGTGATTTTTTTTGGGGGGGGAGACACTGGTGGGGGGTCTGGGGGTCCTCCCCCAGAAAATTTTGAATAAAGTACATGCCATTTCCTGCATTCTGGTGTATTTTAACGGGCTGTTTAACATTTAGTTTTGCCTACATAAGTAACACTTGATTCAATAACTATTATAGAGTTAATGGCACAACAAGAAGTAGCCTGACCAACAGCTCTCCTTGTGTGAATAGAGGACGCTCCGCTTCTCTCATGCATCCTAGCCAGTTGTAGGGTCAAGAGACAAACATGTAGCATTAACACAGTATGAACAACATTCAGGAATTGTTTCTATCAGAACATTATCAAATATTTTACATGAACAGTAAGATTGCTTCGCCTACAAGGAAATGTAAAGTTTGGTACGAACACCAACATCCTCACCAACTTTTATAGGTGCACCATTGAGAGCCTGCTGACAGGCTGCATCACAGGGTGGTACATGAACTGCACCAGTCAGAGCTGGAAAGCTCTACAGAGGGTGGTGCAAACAGCAGAGGACATCACTGGTAGCAGTCTCAGCATCATTAAGGACCACACCCACCCAGCACAAGGACTCTTCCATCTACTACTCTCAGGCAGACGATACAGGAGTCTGTCATCACATACAAAAAGACTCAAAGACAGTTATTATCCACAAGCTGTCAGATTACTGAACTCTCAATAAATAACACTGAACAGCTGGCAATAACTTTGCACCAAGCCACATCTGTGACAACTAATATGACTAATATTAGCTTGTGACACCTAATATTTTATTGCTAATGCATTATGTGGCTGTATCATGTATGTCACTAACTTACCATCATAATTCATCTCAATGTTACTCACTACCTGTGCAATAATCTGTCACACAACCTGTGTAGTTTATATTAGTTATGTGCAGTATACACCATGTGAATTTAAGCTTATATTACTACCTTGAAATACTTATTCATACAAATTTATCCTACTTGCACCATTGGGCGGCTGTGGCTGAGTGGTTAGAGCAGTCGTCCTCCAATGCACGAGTTGGGGGTTCGAATCCACCAGCAGCCACATGCCGACGTGTCCCTGGGCAAGACTCTGAACCCCTCATAGCCTCTGATGTGTGTTCCATCAGTGTATGAATGTGATAAAGCTCTGATTATTCTCTTTAGAATGATTTGTTCAATTAGCTTCGTAGAGATCTAGTATAGAGCTGTATGAATGGGTCAATGAGGCACAGATAGTTGTAAAGAACTTTGAGTATCTCCATAAGATAGAAAGGTGCTATACAAGTACAGTCCATTTAACATATTCTACCATGTTGTTTACCATTTGTTCTTTAGGATCTTATAAATATTGTATTTACTTTTTCATTTTTTGATACTTTATGTTGTACCTTTATTGAATGCTTTAGTATTTCTTGTTTGTTTGTTCATTGTTTTAGTGAGTCTAATCAGTTCTTCTCATCCTGAATATTTTATTGTACTGTTAACCCTGTGTTAACTTGCATATGACAAATAAACATAACCTGAATTAACCTTTAATTTAACCATTAAGCATACAATGTAATTATGACAGAAAATGGAGGATTTACCTGCAGTTACTTTCATAGAGATGAACATGTGGGAGCTACTTCCTGTTTATAACTTGTGATCAGCTGATGGGGTCGGTCCGGCTTTTTACATGTTTTTCAAACTCTGTTTAATTTTTGAAAAATAATAAACTGTATCCCACCCTCTAATCTCTCAGGGTAACACGTGTCTGGATTACCTGTTCTCCACGGACACTGTTTAACCATTTTGTTCTGGTGATTTTTCACAAACCCCTCTGACTGTAAAGTGTCCAGGCTGCAGCCTCAGGTAAGGGGCGTTTACCTTGGGGACAAACTGAGGTTGCCGATTGGTCATTTGCTGACACGCCTACTGGATTGATTGGCAGGTCGTGCAGCGGAGCCGACTGGTGGAAAAAAAAAAAAAAAAACAGAGGTGCAGCCCTGCGGAGGAGGTGGGGCGGCCCAGGAGCAGTGGCAGCGTGTTCTGTGTTTATATGTTGTTAATAAAAAGTTCTAAAAAAATAAAAAAAACAGGGAGGGCTGGCCCTGCAGTCCACACATCAGACCGGCCCACCGGGAATTCTCCAGACCGTCCCGGTTGGCCACTCTGGGCCTGGTAGGCATCACACACTTATCTTTGTACTCCCCACCTGATTCCCACCACCATGCTCGAGACCATCTGGACCAAACAAATTAATCCAGGTCTCATCAGACCATAGGACCTGGTTCCAGTAATCCATGTCCTTTGTTGACATGTCTTCAGCAAACTGTTTGTGGACTTTCTTGTGCACAGACTTCAGAAGAGGCTTCCTTCTGGGATGACGGCCATGCAGACCAGTTTGATGTAGTGTGCAGCGTATGGTGTGAGCACTGACAGGCTGACCCCCACCTCTTCAATCTCTGCAGCAATGCTGACAGCACTCCTGTACCTGTCTTTCAAAGATGGATGTGACGCTGAGCACGTGCACTCGGCTTCTCTGGACGACCAACGCGAGGTCTGCTCTGAGTGGACCCTGCTCTTTTAAAACACTGGACGATCTTGGCCCCTGTGCTGCAGCTCAGCTTCAGGGTGTTGGCAGTCCTCTTGGACATCTTCATGTAGAGCATCAGTTCATCTTTTAAGATGCTCAGAGAGTTGTTTGTCATGAGGAGCCATGTTGGAACTTTCAGTGACCAGTGAGAGAGTGTGGGAGCTGTACTAGAAACTGAACACACCTGCTCCCTGTGCACACCTGAGACCAGGTGACACTAACGAGTCACATGACATTTTGGAGGGAAAATGACAAGCAGTGCTCGATTTAAACATTTAGGGGTATAGTCTCTTTAGTTGCCGGTGGTTTACACATTAATGGCTGTATATTGAGTTATTTTGAGGGAAGAATAAATTTACACTGTTATATAATCTGCACACAGATTACGTTTCATTTAGTCAGAGTTGAAAAGATGGACTTAAATATCTGCAGGAATGTGAGGGTGTACTCACTGTGTGATGCACTGTATACATACTCACATGGCATGAAGTTGCTAGTTACAGCATTTTTGCTGATATCTGTGTGGTGACCACATTTTAAGTGTTGTGAAAAGGAAGGAAAGGCTACATTAAACTATTAGACAGCAATGTTCAGCGCTGGCCTGGACAAGCAAAGACCTTGTACAACGTCTGACACGTTGACTGCGGACCTGGACAGAAGCGTACACGACACTCTCTAGAAATGATGCATTTGTGTATCAAGTTTCATTAAACTGGGGCAGCACGGTGGCGCAGTTGGTAGAGCTGTCACCTCTCAGCTAGCAGGTCACCCAAGTTCAAATCCCAGCCGGGGGCCTTTCTGGGTGGATGTTCTCTCTGTGCTGCGTGGGTCTTCTCCAGTTTCCTCCCACAGACCAAAAACATGCATGTTAGACTGACTGGTGACTGTAAACTGTCTCTAGGTGAGAGAGAGTCAGAGCAGATGGTCTCTTGTCCTGAGCTGGTTCTGCTGGAGGTTTCTTCCTGTTAAAGGGAGTTTTTCTTTCCACTGTCTCCACTGTGCTTGCTCAGGATGGGAGACTGCAACAACACCAAGATTCAACTTGTCTGCTGGATTCCTTAGATAGAGAACTTTACTAACTGTCTTTTATGTGAATGTTCCTGTAAAGTGCTCTGAGACAAGTTTGTTGTGATTTGGTGCTTTATAAATAAACTGAACTGAATGGTTTTGTCTCGTTTGTCTCTATGTGTCCCTGCGATGGACTGGACCTGTCCAGGGTGTCCCCCATCTATTACACAGTGACTGCTGGATATGGGCACCAGCAGTGGGTAAAGAGGGAGGGATGGCGTCATTAAATTATCTTGAGCAGCTCAGAAGTGACGGACGGACAGAGTGTCTGCCTTTCAGCGTGCGTATAAGAAAACGTTACGTTCATCTTTATAAAACTTACAGTCCGGTCTGTATCCAACACTTCGTGGCGTTCTCTTCACGAGCAAACTGAAGACACAAACCGAACAGATCGCACATTAGTAGCTACAAACGAGTGCACTGCTGGCAGACAAACAGAGGTGATTTGTGTACGAGTACAGGCACGTGGCTGCACTACCTTGCTACTTTAACCATTTTGGGGTTGTACTGTTTGAGAAGCTGCAGTAACGTTTTCATGGTCTTCCCCGTGTCGATAATATCCTTCAAACACAGAACGGGAGAGGTTTGTGTTAGTGGTGGAATAAAGAGCACCGTAGTCTGTTAGAAGAGGATGAAGGAAGTCCGGCTTACCTCCACGATCAGAACGTTCTGTGGAAAGTGACAAGAACAACAAATTAACAATTAAGAACGATCTGCTGCTACGATGTGAGCCAGCGTTAAATCAGCTTCTACAAAAACATTAGCTGGTAACATATTTCAGATATTTGTCCTAAAGTGACAAACAAAACTGTCTTTATTGAAAAAGTAATAATTTTTACTGTAGGACTGACATTTATTTGCTCAAATGTAGATTTCTCACTTTAAGGTTGCGTTCAACAAAAATGTTCAAATAGTCAGTTTAAAAAAATAAATAATTGTTGATGAAACTGGCTTGATAAATAACATAAAAATTAATTGAATTTAAAATATTAATCCCAACGGTTGATCCTCCTCACCTTCCCTGTCAGAGTAGACAGGTCGTCTCCACCGATCACTTTGATTTCTCCGGTCGACTGGTCGTTCTGAAACAACCAATTAAGAGTTCATCTCCACAGTTCACATTCTGTACACAAGGACACAAACAACGAGAAATGACAAGTTCAAGAAGTAGTGTTCATTAAGGGAGCGCATATCGCCCGCTGCCGTTCATGCTACAGATCATCTTATGCACCTGCACAAGCTGCAGAGCTGATCTGAGAACAGCTACAAGAGACGGAGGCAGATTGATGAAGACTGTCCAAGTCTCAGAGAACTCCAGATGTGGTGCCACAAAGTACTGATGGGGCACTTTTTCTCATCACTTCATAAAGTTTTATTCCTCTGCTTGATCTAAAAAATACTAGAGCGGCCTGACCAATATATCAGTAGGGTCGATAATTTGGGCCGATCTAGACGTTTGGGGGCCTACCAGTACCGGTGATAATTGTCCCATTGTCCGCCCATCTGAGCACTTCTAATTTTCACCTCTAAAATGTGGAACCAGCTGTTCTTGTACAATGTACCCAGCAGAGGGCGAAAAAAGACTACTTTCAGGTCATGGGTGTTCACTTAAGTTTCACTTTCAGCACAGCTGAAGCAGGGAGCAATACTTTGCTGAACATGGTATTTTAACTGATCTGTTAAAAAAATAAAATAAATCAATAATAAATTATCTTCCATCATCCAACCCGCTTGTCATTAGCCATGTGTCTCTCAAGTTAGCAAAGTAACGTTTAGATAACCTAGCATAGGCTTTTGTAAAACTTTATCCAGAAAATAAATGTAACGTAGAGGTAACGTGTATCAGTTAGTAACGGTATCTTTGTCGTCCTCAGTGAAATGCATCGTGTGTCTGAAATCTTTACTTGTCTAAACAGAAAAAATGACTCTGCTGTGATCAGTACGAAGTAGACCTTCACCATACTGGCTGACATTCTGCCTGGATTATTGAGCATGCATCAGGATATACTGACTGACTGTTTAAACACTTGATAACTTGATGGTGAATAGTGGAGGACAGAAAATGTGAATGCATGACTGTTTTTCTGACCAGTGCACCACTTGTAAACCTACTGTGGGACTAGTTTGTTGGATCTGGTTAGCTTAGCTTCATGGTTGCTAACAGCTGTGCTACATAAACAAGTCCCGCTCCACTCTCCGTTTACTTTCATTCTTGGGGGGGACAAAGCTCAAACATTTTCAGCCAGTATATTGGTTATCAGCAGTCACCATAACCTCCCAATATCTGTATCACCGATAGGCAAAATGTCCATATGTGTCGGGGTTCTAATATACAACGGTTTTCTTATGGCGAAAGGTTAGAAATTCAAGACATTAGTTTTGTGGCACGTCTGAGATTGAATATAATTAAAGATTTGAAAAAGAAGCTGCTGGAGTGGTGACGGCATCACGTTAGTCTGAGGTTACAACTGTGCAACGCGACCAACTGGTGGATTATGTTTGCACTGTGCCAACCTGGTTCAGTGGTTTTACGTTTATCGTTTAGTAAAGGCAGCTATTAGAAGAAAGCCCAAAACTATTTAAAAAATCAGCCACGGGGATACAAATGTATAGTAATAAATATAAAGAGCCCAGATGTGAAACTGTTGTGGAAGAGCTCAACATAAACTCCAGTGGAAGTAGAGACGACCCAAACGCCACGGGGCTGCTCCTGAAGGCACGGCTCGTTGTTTTGAAGGTGAGCTGTTTATTTGTCTTGGCACGAGTTTAAATGAAAAGGTAAAGACGACGAGGATGACTGCAGCTCTGGCAGAATGAACCGTGTTTGCAGACAGCTGCTTGTTTATCAGCACAGAACAAACTACACTTTCATTTTCAGTAAGCACCACGTGCTGGAGGACCAGCTCGGTCCAGCTGCTCAGGACATGTGAGTTTACTGAAGCAGGTCTCCAAACACCCTGAAACAAGAACGTCAAGGAAGAGCACCTGTCCGACCTTACAAACAGAGCAAACCTGACGGGAACTGGATTCTTTATAAGTAGTTGTTTTAATGTTGTGTCAACTTTGTTTTTATTTGTATTTTGTGCTTTTCTAACAAAGAAGCTGCTTTTTGTGCTGTGGCTCATCTTCTGCCTCCTGGACAAACTGGACCTTGAGAAGATAAACTGGACAGATGGTCTCTGCGCTCACTCTACCTCCTGTTGCATTTCTGCACCCAATAAACCAAATGACCACTTCAACATGACTCAGCCTCACTGCAGAACCAAAGAGTCACCGTGAAGTTTGGAGAGGCTGCACGGTGCTGCGCTGGATCAAAGCAGCTGCTGGCTCGTTTCAAGCAGACTCCAAGAGCAGAACCTGCTCCAACTGGAGTCTGTCTGTAGCGCAACGTTTGAACCGCTTCACTCGTAGAGCCTCCTTTTCTTTTAGCAGGCGGCTCAACAGTTCAGTTTTACACGATTATAAACTCCAGCAACGGTTCTGATCCGACACTCGCAAAAAATCACGGAGCTCATAGATTAAAAACATGAATTATCGTATTAACTGTTGATTCCATGACGGACACCTGAGATCAGATGCTGAGAAACGGAGGTTCGGTTCCTGAAACCAACAACTTTCAGCTGAACGCCTGTCAGACGGGTCGTTTCTCTTCAGACACGAGATCAGCCGACGTTTGCTGCTGGTGTCCAGGAACAGCTGGATGTTATGGTGAGCAGCTGTGGACCGAAGCGGTCCTAGCGGGGGCCGGGGGCACAAACGTGCGTTAGCTCTGACCGCCATGTTGAAATCTGGTCGACTCCAAATCACTTTTAGAGTTCCTCTACAGAACATTCAGTATTTCACGAGATATTTTACTAACAGACGCCGGCAGCAGATGAGTGCCGTTCAACAACCAACTCAAATAAAGCGGTGCGTTACACAGTAGCTCTTGAGGCGGATGAAGTCCACCGTCATTGGGATGGAGCGGTCGCTGTTCCGGTTCAGGGCCTTGATGTAGTCCAGCAGGTCTGCAAAAAACTTGTAGCCCCCTTTGAGCACACAGAGGGCCACGATGTGGTGCCCCCCCATTTCCTTCATGATCTCTCTGGCCAGTCTCTCCGTCCTGGGATCAGATGAGAGACAGAGGACAAGAGTCAGCAAAACGTACGTTTCCTTGCTGCCATCTCTAACTCAGAATAAACCAGGAGACTACGGTGAACACGAGACCTGCGGACAGCGAAGGTAACGACGTAATCAGACGTACACATGCACAGAGTACATTTATTATTTAATTAGCTCTGGAGCTGAACCTCACGTAACGTCCAAAATGAACATACAAGCTGCACGACGCTCCAGGCAACCGTCAACATCATTTACCCACAATACACTGCAACGGAAATAAACTGGCAACATTCACCTGTCAATCATTTTTACAAAAATATAAAAACTACTCAGCCTACAGGATTTTTACAGTCTTGTTTTTATCGCTGGAGTAATTTCTACTGTTCCAACTAGTCAGAGTTCCCTTTAAAGAAATAAAATCTGTAGACGACGCTGTGAAGAACACATTTATATTCTCCGTCAAACGTCTGGTGAAAAATAAATTAGGTCGTGAACAACACGGCAAACATCCTCCTCTGAGTCAAATACAAACACCTCAAAACTAAAGTTTTACGCTGTACTTTCAGCACCAACTATAAAATAAATATAAGTGTTTAAGTTTACATGTCAAGTGTTTGTATTAGAAAATGAACGGTGGTTTTCTCGCTCTCTCAGGAAACATTTAGTTACGACAGCTTTAAAAACGTCAGGAAGACATGTTGTTGTTGTTGTTGTTTTCATCAAACTACAGATTTTTCAGCTCCTTAATAAAACACTAAATGTTCACCTGAACAGATTTAGCTGCAAACGTAATTAAATCGTTAAACAAAACTCAGAAAAACAAAAATTGGAATTTGCGGAGGGAACACTTGTTTCCAAACATGGACCTCCTGCAGTTATCCACCACACTTTCATGTCGCTTCTTAGAAACGGGACGGCCCACCTATCCAAGATGAGCCCATGAGGGATGTAGACCCGCTCCAAGTCAGCCGCATAGTGCTTGGGTATGCAGAAGAGATCCAGGTCATAGCCCTGCTCCTCATCACTGATCTGGAACAAAGTGACACAGAAGGGTTAAAGGTCACCTAACAAACTTACACAATGTCCGTACTGGGACTAGTCCTGTGAGAGACCAGGTTTTCTGTGACATCAAATTTAGTGTTGAGGGTCAGTGTTGCCATGAGAACACAGACGGGATAACAGGACTCATGTGATGGCCGAGGGCTGGTGAAGAACAGAAAGTTGTGTTGCCAGGTGGGGCTAAAATGAGCACACCTGAGCTTCTATGTAACAAACATTACTGGCTGGCAACAAGCGGCGCGCCGTATGGCTCGCTGCTGACGGACCGGAACGCTGAACAGTTTTAGGCAGCGCAGAGTGGCGGATCCTGACAAGAAGCGGGAGCAACGTTACCACCAGGCACAGTGGAGGAGCCAGAGGGTGGCCAGTGGTGGCCTTGAACCCAATCATTTAAAGGAAATGGTACTTTTCAGAAATATAAAAACCAGAAAGCACAGTTTCTTCAAACGATGGGGAGGCCAGTTTACATTTATATTTTTTGGTGGTGGTCATCTTTTGATTTGGCAAAGACTTTGATCGGGACCTTTTTACCCCGACATGCAGCCACACACCAACATGAAAGTCAACATGTTGCTTATATTTCAAGTAATCCAGCTCACGTTAACATACATCAGTGTTGCCCCTACCATTACACAAGCGGGACGCCCCGTCAACATAACCGAGCGCCCCACCTACCTAACCCACCCCACCCCCCGCATGACATAGCATTAAGTTAGCGACACGCAATACAAGACGCTAGCTAAAACTCTAAACACTAACACTACAAAAACAATACAGTAAACAACAGCAGTACATCCAGATGTTGCCACACACCAAAATGGAGGTCGGTACCTCACACATTTTTTAACTTATCGTGCTCGCAACATTCACAGACGGTATTTCCATGCCCCCCCTTTTCGTTCTGAGATGAGGGACGACAACAAGCAGAGATCTGGCAGTCCTAGCACCCGAAACAATACTTCCACCACTACTTCTGAGTCTTCGGTCAGGAGTAGAACAAAATCAGCTCACTGATCTGAGGTAAGAAAACTGCTAAAACTTTCACTAGGAATCACATTTGCACAAACTCCATCTAACATCTGGGCCAGGAGTTTGGATACATATGGAAAAACCGCTCTAGCACCTCAGACTCATAGACACTAAACTCAAACAAGTTTCAGACGCCCCGCAAGGACGCTGCAAAACTTTGGAACGATGCTCCAAACGTTTACAATGCGAGAGAGGCTCTGCGACTCTCGTGGGGTGAACGCTAACAAACTGAAATTCTTCAGGAATGTATCTGGCGATTTGTTACCAACAGCCTAGTGAGAAAATACATTGAACGCTTGCGGTACAGGGCTAAGGGCTTGGCAAACACGGGTCTACCATCAAACTACCGAGTAAGAGTCTTGTTATCAATAGTGCGTCCTTCCATCTTTCTCTTCTGCTCGTTCCGGAGTCGGGTTGAGGAGCAGCATCTTGAGCAGGATGCCAAGGCGTTCCCAGGCCAGCTGAGAGACACGGTGCTCACTCACAGTCTCAACACTTATCGGTTCTGCACCAGTTAAGGGTCTGCCCACTGCTGGTACCCACCCCCACTCAGCCAGGTTAATGGGACCATCTCATCTGTGGTTCTAAGCAAACTGCTCCAAGGTGATGATTTTGGCATAAGCAGACTGCAGCCGCTGACTGGCCAGCGGAGCTACGTCTCTGGATGACCCGTCCAGCAATAACCCAGCCCAGCAACCTACATCTGAACCGCCATTTCCCCTCTGATCGTTGCAGAAGGCAGAGTTTCTAGTTTGTTTTTTCTAGAATTCAGTAATGGAAGCTCCAAAAATAGTGCCATGGATCGCTGACGAGGTCCAGACCGTTCTTTCTTTGTTGGCGGACTGGAGGATTCAGCAAGCGCTGCAATGATACCGCCCACTTTGCAATGACGATCCAGTCCACAGAGCGGGGAAACGAGTCACAGTGGGTATTCACCTACACCTGAGAAGAACCGACAAGACAAGAACCAACTCGAGTTGTACTCGTCAATGGCAACGCGCCTATTCTCCAGCGTGTCCTGGGTCCTCCCTGGGATCTCCTCCCAGTTGCACATGCTCAGAAAACCTCCCTCAGGAGGTGTCCAGGGGGCATCCTTACCAAACGTCTGAAACACCCAGTGTTGTAATGTAACAAAGTAGAAATACTTTGTTACTGTACTTAAGTAGACGTATCTTTACTTTACTTCGTTATTTACATTTCTAGCGACTTTCACTTCACTACATTTTCTCAATAAAATGTGTACTTTTACTTCAGTACATTTCCCTTAACCATCTAGTTACTCGTTCCTACAATATAAAATTAGAAGAAATCTGATTGGGCAATCTGTTTCTTCTCCCAGTCTGTGACTTCATGCGGCCACTTCTCTCTCCCTCACTGACGCTCAATCACAAACCCAGCCCCTCACCCACGCTGGTGTGAAACCAGCAGCTCCCGCTGTGAACAAGCTAGATGCACGTGCAGACATCAGTCGTTAGCTTTGATGACCCACAGTGGAGACACTGTAACTTCCTGATAGGTTGAACATGACGGTAGCTGCTGAAAAGGAGAGGTTTGGTGTTCTCCAGGACATGAACGGCTTCACAGCAGCAAGGTACGGAGTTGTCGGGCCACTAGTCTTCCCATTAAAGAACACAGAGACAGATATCCAGTTTAGGCGGATTAATTTGCTGTGATTCTTCTGGTATTTACGCACGGCAGTAAACCAGTAAAACACAAACAAGCTTGGACAACAAGGCTCCGTCCGTGTCAGGAGAGAGAAAACAAAACTCCAACTGAGCTCTGCACTTTACAGAGTGGTGCGTTCACTAGCGTTGGAACAGCCACGGTGCATTCAAGAGCATAGGAACTATTAAATTCAGAAAGGAACAAGTCATGACCAAACAGAACGTAGCTCAGTAAACAAGCTAACTACACAACAACGTGAGCTTTCTGACAGTTTGTTAATAAAGTTTGAATGAATTTACTTCAGTAGAATCAGACGTTTTAAAGATCAATCTTTGTTCAGTTCAAACTTTCAAAGTTCTTGTCACTGGATATTACACCAATAAATGTTGTTTTGAACATTCTAACCATTTACTTTTACTTCATACTCTTACTTTAAGTACATTTTATAAGATAAATTTACTTTTGATAATTAATGTCTGATACTTTAAGACTTTTACTTAAGTAATAATTTTAAAAGAAAGTTTAACTTTTACCAAAGTAATTTTATGGTAAGCCTTCACTGAAGTATCCCCCTGAGGTACTTTATAGAAGACTGGAAACAGCTGGACTGTAGCCGGTCTGAGGTAGACTCTGCACCAGACCATCACCGTCTCGTGGTCAGTAGGGGTGAATCTGAAAAGGCCCAGCGCACGAGGCTTCATCAAGCCCAGAGCGTGCACGTGCACCAGGGCTGAAAATACTAATGAAGCACAAACCACTGCAAAGACTCTAAACCAGTCTGTTTCAAGGACTTTATGTTCTGCGTGTTAACAACAGACTGGTCACTCCAACAGACTGGTCACTCCAACAGACTGGTCACTCCAACAGACTGGTTCAGACGCCCACACCTGTTTAAATGAGAGACAGAGTTTATGACTCACCCCTGAAGTGTATCGACTAAAAGTTAAAAAGTACAAACAGTGTAGTAACTCCGTATCAGACGGTCAATGTCACAAAATCTGACAGAACGATTCCAGATAAGCTGCAGTCGATGAAAGAGCTTTCACTGTCCTGGTTTCTAATCAATCCATTAAACTGGACTCGGTTTCAGGCAGTTCTTAGAAACCAGCTGTTCATTGACTTGTTGCCGTGGAAACCTTGAGCTGGACCTTGTGCTGAAATAAAACCAGGACAGTTTAGTTCAGCACGGAGAAAACTGGGTTTACGAAATGCAAAGTTTGAGACTTCATTTAACTCTTGATGGCAACGCTGCACTATATTCACATTTACTGAGCAGCATATTCTTCAGAGCATCTTGTTCATCCAGGGCGGCTGTGGCTCAGTGGTTACAGCAGTCGTCCTCCAATGCAAGGGTTGGGGGTTCGAATCCACCAGCAGTCACATGCTGAAGTGTCCCTGGGCAAGACAATGAACCCCTCATAGCCTCTGATGTGTGTTCCATCAGTGCATGAATGTGATAAAGCTCTGATTAGTCTTTGTATAGATCTAGTATAGAGCTGTATGAACGGGCACAGATTCTAGTATAGAGCTGTATGAACGGGCACAGATTCTAGTATAGAGCTTTGAGGGTCTTGCTCAGATTGAAAGGTATAAAATATATAATCTCAGATAATAAGTACAGCCCGTTTACGCAGGATTAGATTAAATTAAGAGCTCTTTTCACCCCTTCAATCTCAAACTTCTTTTGATGAACAGCCTCGACAAGCTGATGCTGACTGACACACGAGCACGCGCTCCGAGCGCATCTTCTGCGTCACTAACGTGCACGTCTCCCACCGCAGGCCACGCAGAGCTTCGAGCCTCGTTCACCGTTATGTGTGTCCTGAGCACGCGGACAGGTAATCCAGGACAACTCCTGTGGCGTGACCTCCTCTCAGGGGAACTACTTACCACAACACACGGGCCGGATGTCGCCATGTCCTTCCGCGTCGGTCCCCTCGGTGTCTTCTTGTCCAGACTTAAATTCCTTAAAAACTAGTTTTTCACGTTCTCTCTCCTCGGCTTGATGACAGCACACTGAGCGGCAACAACTGCGAGACGCCTCGTCTCTTTACCACCAGCTTGCACTTTTTCCCGAGGCTCTGCCGCCTACAGTGCGCACCGCACACTGCGCAGATGCGGAAGCAACGACTCATGAGAAAATGCTTAGCCCCGCCCCCCCGCGTGGTGGCTGCTGAAGAGCGGGTTGTACAGCAGGCCGTTATGACATATAATCAAACACCACTTGTCCCTATAAATATTAATCGTTTTTCTCTGTTAGCAAACGATCACATGAACCATTGAACTGATTTTAATGAAACGTTCAGAAATGATCCACTAAAAGGAACCTCTGTACATCTAGTCAGGTCCTCTTCAGGTCTCTTGAGTCCCTGAGACTCAATGGGACCAACCTGTTTAAATGAAGGTTGAATTCATTTTTGGAGTCAACTCAATTCAAGATGGCTGCCACAGCCAGCTGACTGGGAAACAGAAAAATTGTTATAGTTCTATCCAAATTAAATATTTTAAGATAAAATGTGGTGTGATAGTAGGCTACATATCCTGAACACAACACGTGTGAAGTAACTGAATCATTTGTTGGTCAGCCCTTAACAAAAGTAGCACATTTGAATTTCATTTTTGCAAGTATACTTTAAGTATATCACGTATACTACACACCATACTTGTAGTGTACTAGAAGTATACTGATTTAATACTTGTTTGGACTAAATTAGGACATTTTTATACTATTTTTAAGTATATCAAATAAAGTTTTATAAAAAGTAAACTTCAAGTACACTTCCTCACTTTTAGTGTAAAATAAGTGTACTTGTAGTATACTTAACTACTTTTTGCTAAGGGAACCTGTTTGTTAACAGAATATCTTTTGAATCATTGGGCTGCTTTTTAATGAAACTTTCAGACATTAGTAATTGACTGATCTTTGACCGATTTATTTTGGCCCGGAGGCCACTTGATGAATGAGTGTGAGGAGAGTTCGTAGAAGTTCAGCAAAGAAAGGTCAAAGTCAGCAGATTATCATGAGGACACATCTTGACTCAGCGCAGCGATGATGTTGAATTAACCGCATGAACTGCTGGGAGTTGTGCAAAAAATGTCATCTTCTTTCATTTTTATCTTTTTTAGTATGAAAACCAGTGACCTTCAGACGTGTCAAGTTTCTGTCAGATAACACAGCCAGGTTTTTACCATTTAAAGTTGACAACGATGCTCAAAAACTGTTCTTTGTTGGCACAAAGTTAATTTAAAAATATTTCAACACAAAAAACATTTAGCTATTCTAAGTAAAGATTCTCAAAGCAAACAATTAAATCAAGCAGCAACTATTATCATGAACTACACCAAACAGTGCATTTTAAAAGTTTACTCCAGTTGTTTTCCAGATGTATTATGTAATTCTGAAGGGTACACAATGTAAAGAACTGGACCCACCAGAAACCACGTGGGAGCTCGAGTCACATGGCTGACCTCTGGTTCCAGTCTGTGTGGGGAAGCTAATATGTCAGATTGGACAAATGTCATCTAGTAGAAGACGTTTAGGTGCAAACATAAAAGTGACTCTGCTGCCTCAGGAGAAATAAAAAGAAGGAGTAAGAAAAGGGTCAAGGGATCAAGCAGAGCTCAGAACACTAAACTCTTCAGGTTCAAGTTTACAACACCATGACACCACCATGTCCCTGTTCTTCTGAAAACTGTCATTTAGCTGGGTGTTGTAAAGCAGGGGTGTCCAAAGTGTGGCCCGGGGGCCTTGTTTGGTCCATGGAGCGATGTTGGAGCACAGCTGCAGTTCAAGAACGAGAACATTTTGCCTTGCAGGCGTAAGCAGATGATGCAGACCTAGACCTTCTGCCAATTTAATGCTGATACCTTTTATATATTGTTTTAGGTTTAACAACAAAACAAATTATAAACATTTTCTCAAAATGAGCAATATAATAATAATAAAGACATTTTGTTGCTTCAAGTTCCTTGTTTGCCAGTTACTAATGGAAAACCAGCAACTTTTCCTTTAAGCCAAACATCTACAAATCATATCTCTCAGTGAACCACACCTTTTCATTGTTTTCGGTTAGCGAGGTTAATAAATTGTTAAAATGTCTAGATTCTAAAACATCTGCAGGCCCTGATGACCTTCCACCGATTTCTTAAAGCTGGCTGCTCATGTCATTGCAGAACTGCTGTCTCACGTCTTTAACCTGTTCTTTTGGCTCAGCAATAAGCCGAAACTCTGTTCCAGACACTTGAACAGCCTTTGTTCTAGCTTTACTGAAGGTGACCCCCCCCCTCACTGAACAACCATCGAACAATCTCTAAACTCTGTATTTTAGAGAAGGTTGAAAAACTGCTGAACTCTCATATCAAAAATTACCTGGACTCATTTAACATCTTACCTCCACATCAATCTGGTTTCAGGAAACAGCACGACCACTGCTTCACTGAAGGTTCTTAATGACGTTGAAGCACCGGATGCTAAGGATTATTGTGCTGCACTTCTCTTACACCTGTCTAAAGATGTTGACACTGTGGCACTGGAGAGCTGGTGCAAAGAGAATAACCTTCACATCAATGAGAAGAAGACAAGGGAGATGATCGTGGACTTCAGAAGGAACAAAAACATCTACACCCCCCTGAACATAAGAGGGTCTGCAGTGGAAGTGGTCTCCAGCTACAAGTACTTGGGTGTACACATGAACAACAACCTCAGCTGGAGCAACACCACCACCAGCCTGATGAAGAAAGCTCATCAGAGATTCTACTTCCTCAGACGGCTGAGACGAGCTGGTCTGGAAGCTCAGTCTTCACCTCCTTCTACAGGTGTGCAGTGGAGAGCATCCTGTGCTCCAGCATCAA